AATTTCATTCTTAAACGACCTGCGCGCGAAGTCGAGCACTTTACGGTAGCACAGTTTAACGAGGACCAATATAGGGAAAAATATTCATCATATTTATCATCAGGGAATTTATTTATTAATAAAAATATTATAGTTGCTTCACGGTAAAATATTTTTATAAAAAATGTTTTTTTAAGGAAAAGGTATTTTGAATCAGCTCTAGTAAATAAAAGAATTTAATTTTCTGCAAATACACAAATTTTTTTGCTGAAAAAATGCTAGAACACTAACGTTTACATAAAAATTATCATATTTGCTACCAACTTGACTAAATAGATCATGGTATGTGATAATTAAGATATTTAATAAAATTTTAGTCATATTATTGAAATTCTTTTTTCTTATTTAGGCAATTTAATTTCATAGTTATTGGCATCTATTTTCATGCTTTAGGCTACTGAAAACAACGATTTTGTTCATTTTTTTTATGGCAACCCTTTGTTAGTATCGGAGCTAGTCTTTTTTCTTTTGTAAACACATTTGTTACTTACATTTTAATTTGTTGAACGAATTTAGAACTCACATTCCCTGCTAATGAAGCAATTTCTTACATTTTTAGGAATTCTAAGGCAGATTTTCGACATCCTCTACGACGATGACGTTATCACCGAAGAATCGTTTAAAAGCTGGGAACAAAGTGATGATATAAACAAAGTGGAAGGCAAAGGTGTAGCATTGCAATCTCTCAAATCTTTTTTCACTTGGCTAAAGGAAACAGATTCTGGTGATTCTGTGACTGATGAATGACGATTCTTATGCTCTAAAATATTTTACTTAGATAAAGACTCGAAAGCAGTTATTTTGTATGACACAAGCTTATGTAATGGATCCTGTTGCGATTAATCAATCAATTGGATCTCTATTCCGAGTTTACTATAGGAAAAATGAATTGTCTGTGCAATTTAAACAAAGTTATCCCCCGTTTTGTAAATTAAAGAAACATTTGCAGCGTCTAGTGCATCTTATTAAAAGAAAAATATTCCTTTTGTTATTCAATGATTGACTTGTGCATGTGTTTAAAAGGGTACAAGTTTTATCTTGTTCATTTATATTTAATGTGAACAATTGCTTCTGATGTTTGGATGGTTATGGGACTTTCTTCTTAAAAAACCGTGTCGGCAGTTTCATTGGTTTTGATCCATAATAAATGATGAGAATCACTGAAAGAGAGACACCCGATTATTTTTAAGACATGAAAAGATTTTAGTTTTCTTTAAATTATGTAAAATGATCCATTGTACCTAACTGTCAATAAATAGGCTGATTTATGAATTGTTAATTCTTCTTAAAATTGCGTATGTTGTCTCAAGGTTATGCCTTTAATTATTTTATTCGGCGATTTTGCTCAAGTTTAGCATCTGTTTATTTCTGTAGCGACACGGAGGGAGGTTGTCGTCAACAACATTATTTAAACTGTTTCCTGGCATTCTTTTTGTCCAAACTGTTAAGTCTATTTGCCACTCTTGAATTTTGATACTGTTTTTATGTTAGAAATAAAGTGAACTATGTAAATATATATATATATATATATATATATTTNATTATATTAGTGTTTGTATTTTATTAATTCAACCATGAATTTAGGCAATGTTTTTAGATTAAAATTAAAAATAATTAACAGCTGGTAAATTTTATACAAATATTGCATTCTATTATTTTATTTAATTTATACAGTATAATAACATTACTTAAATAAAATACTTCATTCTCTATAAAAATATATATAAATAAATATTATAGTACTGTTCCTACTGGTGATTAATGTAATTTTTTTTAGGCAAAATAAAAAAGTGTATAATCATATACTTAACAGCATACCGTCACGATGAAATAATGAGTATCTGATTTAATTTTAGAATAATTTAACATTTACAAATAATTTTTAAACATTTACGAATTAAAAACATTTACAAATAATTTAATTCTAGACTTTGCCAAATGTATTTCTACTTTATATTGTGATATCAAAATGTAAAAAAAAAACTTCTGTAAACTAAATAGCTGCAATGTTGTGCAGAGTATTTTATCTTTTTTTATGCAGTAATTACTATTGATTTTCACATAGTTTTTAAACTCCTAATACTTTTAATACGATATTATTTATTACAGCAACTAAATCTCAAAATCAAAGCATGCATTTAGTATTGAATTTATTACATTTAGTATAATTGAGAAATAATCCCTTTTTGAAGAGTCCGATTCGCGTGATTTTACCGTCGATCTTTTTTCGATAATTACAGCTACGGATTTCACGATTTTTTATTATTTTTGAGTGTGATGAAGATATACAAAATGGGGAAAAGGAAATAATTAGTGCGCTTTCCCCCTAACAAAATGCGAGAAGATCACCCATAATATTAGAATTAAAAAATATTACTTATTCGATTAAAAAAATTATTTTATTTGTCCGTAAAGCCTTTTTTTTAAGTTGACGCTTCTGTTACTTTAATCAGTAACATGTGAATTTGTTATTATTGATTAATGTATCTAGCAGGAAGACATTAGTACTGGAGAGGTATGTCGCAGAAAACAAGCAAAACTTTTGCCAAGGGAGTGCTATACTTCTGGTTGGTGTTTGGGTCCAAGACTTAAGTTTGGGAATAGTTTCTGTGTGGTGTTCAAAGTAATTTTTACCCTTTTTTTGGTCTTTAGTATGAAAAACGATAATTAGATTTGTTTTTACATATTTAGTTAAAGGAAAACAAAAGATTTTTGTATCGTATATTATTGAATGTGCATAAAAATAATTAATAAAGCTAGAAAAATGCTTATTGGACTTCTTCACACTTTATTGAGATCTCATTTTCTTTTCAGAAAAAGTTACTTATTTATAAAACTTTCATTAGGTAAGTCAAAGGAATTTCAGGTTCAGAAACCCAATCTAACTCCATCTAAAAATGAACACAAAATGACAGTGCAGGTTTTGAAAAGAAGGTTCTCAGGATTATAAAGTAATGAAATAAATTATATATTACGATAACTAGCTACGTGCTAGACAAAAAAAATTTTACTTATTTCTTTTAAATATGTGATTTTTAATATAAGTGCCCTTTTGATGAAGCCTGGATTCAGGAATGTTAAAGCTCAATGTCAGCTGAAGTTTTAAATTTGTGATGTGGGCTGCACTCAATGCAAGTATGGATGTGAAAAAAATACTGCAAAGAAAATTTAAATTTTTGCATCAAAGTTGTCCACAGTCCTTAAACAGAAAGACTAAAATCGATTATGTGATGGGAACTGTGCTGCTGAAATTAGACTTGCAAAAAGGGCTATTCTTATTTTAACTATTTTAAGATTTGCAATTTTGTTGCATTAAATAATGAGTTTCTGTTCTCGATTTTTTTTTACTCTTTGGCAAATTGGGTTTTGATTTGGATTTGATGGCGTTCACACACTTTTCAACTGTGTTAAAAAGTAATAGTAAACAGTGCGCATGCGTCGTCATTCCATTCGTTGCTATGGCGACTACTGCAGGTTTTCTATTTATCCTCACTCGTAGGTATTTTTGATGTATTTACGTAATAATAATTTAAAGTATGTTCAGATTCTTTTTATTATTAACACATAATTACTGGCTTGACGATGATTTCAATATAAATATGAATACTGAAGAAGGAAAAGTATTTTGTGACGTCTTGAAACACGTACATAGGCAGGATATGAAAATCAAATCCGACGACAAACATCAATGGAGATAGTTTTTGCAACCCATGATTTGAAATGTTTAACGGAGTCAATCCATAAAGAAAAAGTATTTGACCAATGGGTAACCAGGGATCGTAATAAGGCGTTTTTTTAAATCTATTTGAGAAAAATCGAAAGTAACAACAAAAAAAAGTAGAATAGGTGTTCCCAAATTTATAAAAAAACTTAATTTGATTGTGAATTTAAACGATATATACTACTTTAACGAGTAAAATTTCGACAATTTTTTTATTGTTCACTCATTTTGCATCCTTTTTTTTCTTTCAATTCTTTTCAATCAAGTCAATTCTTTTTCTTTTAGTTCAGAATTGGGTCGGTTGTTCAACGGCAGTCATAAAATTAAATACTTGATCCAGGAGTTCCATTTTCTTCCGGATTGGGTTCAAAATATCAAGGGTACGTAGTTGGGTATTGGTAGTCGTTTAACGAGGTTATAAAATATATAAAATTCATTGTATTGTTTGTTGCGAGCGAAACACTACATATAAACAAGGCTTGGCCAGGATCTGCTGTCTGTAGGGCGCTGGACCAATGTTCAAGAATTTGTGGGTTAGATCCCCGCCGGCCGAAGACTCCCAGTGTAGTGAACGGTGACTGATGCGCGTTAAATCTGTCGAGTCGCAATGTTCTCCATGTTCCCATAACAAATCAATACCTCTGGGGGTACTGATTCAGGAGCTTCCTTGTCTTCTGGATTGGTCCAAAATGACAAGGCTACGGAGTTGAACAGTAGTAGTCGTAAACCCAAAAATTGGGTCGGCTGTTCAACGACGGATATATATATATCTGTATAAAAACGTGATAGTTA